TCATGCTCCCAATTCTCTTATTTCATCTAATCTGTAGTGTCTGGATGTGTTGACAGAGGCTGCGGAGCTGTTAACACAGACTTTTAAAAGTCAATAAAATTAGAAAACTTTAGATAACCGTGTAGTTTTCTATATTTATAATGGATGTATAATCACAGACATCTGCTTTCACTGAGACCAGGTAACCAAACACATGTCACTGAACTCAGCCTTGAGCTCACTGTGAAGCCTGCAGTCGCCTGGTCTCTGCTCTTATTTTCAGACAAACAGGTTCATGAACAAACCCCTGAAATAAATTAATGGATTTAAAAGTCACAACTTGTCGCACTTGGTGAGGAAAGTGAAAATAAAACATGGGGGACATGTTTGTGCAGCTGTTTCCTGTCTTCACCGACCCTCTGCCCTGAGGTTTGTCTGATGTGTGTGGATTTTATTTTCGTGATCGGCTGCTGATGGATGGATCATTTCTCTCGAGCGGTGTCGAATCCCAGCAGATCAGAGCTGCATTCTTTGTTTTAAACCTAATTGTCTGTGAGGTCGATGGACGTGGTTTATTTTAATTATTCTCCTGTGACGTCTCCTGCTGAACCTGACGGACGTCAACGCTCCGATTCACCTCTTCCTTTATTGGCTGCTCTCATCGGAGACTCCGGCCTTTTCACTATCACTCACAGCGAGATGGTGGCGTTTCCCTTATCGACCTGTGGGGTCGTGGTAATTACACCAAGTGATGCAGGAGTGTGTGAGTGTGTGTGTGGTTGTGTTGAAGGATTGACACGTTACATATTACACATCGTCAATTGATCCCTTGCTAATTTTAAAAGTATTGAGTCGTGCAGCCTTACATGTTCCTCGGTGACCTGCAGTCGTGATGTGGAGGTGGAGCCCCGGTGGTTTGGAGCTGGTGCCTCGTACTGCATCAACAAACTCAGGGAGAAACACTGCAGGCGTCTAAACACGAGAGTTAACGTCACAGGTTTCAATCTGCTTTTTCAAAATCTGTTCACTGGTGATTTTTTTGATGTGATATCATGGGGTTGTGTATGAATAGGATTAAACTTTTTAAATGTTCTTTTTACTCCTTATAAGCTTTTCTACTGGAATATAACAGAGTTTTCATATTTTTTTAGGTTCATGGTTAAAAGTCTCAGGCGTGAAGATCCCGTTAAAGAATTTATTCACCAGTGACATTTACAGGCCGTTTTAAATACTCTCTAATCTGATGTGAGTATTTTCATGAAAATAAATGGTTTCAAAAAAGGACTCAGACACTTTTCACGTTAAAACTTTTGATTCGTGGAGTCAATGACCTCTACCCTCCATCTCCGGCCTGAGGCAAGTCGTCCCTCTGCCTCTTAAATAAGCTGTTAAACCTCTAAATCAATTGTTAAGGCCACAGGTAGAGCGAGTCGAGAGGAAATTGAGGAAATGTGCTCTGGTTTTCCTGCGTGAGGCCGTTTTCTTCAAAGCGCAGGTGGTGAATTGATCGTTACGACGAATAACGAGCGAGTAAGACAGGATTTCTGCGTCCGGAAATGAAAAGAATGAAACATGTTTTTTGCCTCAGCTCTGACTTCAGGGATTTTCTTCAAACTTTGACCAGTTTGTCATTTGTACTTAAAGACCGAGTGATTGGATTTCAGAGGTCAGAGGTCAAAGGTCACCTCCATTACTATTGTACATGCATGACATCAGGTAGAGACTGAATCTGGTCGGAGGAGACGTACAACGGGATGGTGATTCTAGTTTTAACCCAAGCTCCGTTAAAACTGATGTTATCAGAAAAGTCGGACTATAAAACCTCCTGTTTGGACCCCCCCCCCCCCCCCCCC